ACTATTTTTGTTGACCTTTGTCCATGGAAGGTCCCTGCAAAATTTCATTGAAATTGGTTCAGGGGTTTTGGAGAAGAAGTCGAAAATGTAAATTGTTTACGGACGCACGACGGACGACGGACGACGACGGACAAAAGGCGATCGCAATAGGTCACTTGAGACTTTGTCTCAGGTGACCTAAAAATCTAGATGGCAATTCCTCACAGAATCAGAGAAAGACAGCAATAGCAGAAGAAGTTGAGAGGACCCTCTTCACATGAACTGAATATCAAGGATGGTTTGCAGACAAGAGAGCATTTGACAGTCATCCATGTGCTGAACAAGAATCTGCAGATGAACGTCAGTCCACTGCCTCATCTGGTGCTCAAGTTCTGCAACAAGAACAAGGTAATGATGCCCATTCCTTGTGGAACAGGTCTGATACTCTTCTTTTGATTGACCAGTATGCAAAATACAAGGAACGACAGGAGTAAGGACTACTCAGGAAAAAAGAAATGTGGCAGAGGATAAGGGAATGGTGTCTAAGGGGTGTAGTTTCAGTGCCGATCAGATTGCTGGTCGATGGAAAAGCTTGATGAGAGCTTATAAAAACACTAAGGACCATAATGGTAAATCCGGAAATAGCTTGAAGAGATACGAATACCAGGACGAGCTGGATGCCCTGTTTGAGTCCAACCCATGCATTGTACCAGAATGTACTAGATCATCCGGAAAAAGGGCAGCTAATGTTGTAGAACTAAGTGAGGAAAACGAAGACCTTACTGCCTCGGATGCACAGAATGCTAGAACTTCAAGTGTAAAGAAAGCTAGGAACAGATCAAGTACAAAGGAGGTTGTGATTTTATTCAAAGATTACATGGAAGAACAGAAGAAAAAAGAAGCAGATGACATTGAAAGAAGGGAGAAAATGCACAATGAGAGAATTTCTGTCGTGAAAAGCCTTGTCAGTGCCATCACAAGCAAATCAAACCTTCCCAGACCAAATTCTTGTGCAGGACAATAAACTCAAAAGTCACGGTCAATAATCGGTGTGTACCTTCTTCACAAATCTGGGGGATTATCGGCAGAAACCACTTTGATCTACAACAGCAAATTAAATAACCATAACCTAAATGTTTTAATGGAATGACGGCATGTAAGATACTGCCAGACATATTTAAAAGTGAAATATGCCCCTGCCTTATGTGATGTTAATCTGTATATTTGTTTCTCGCATTGGGGGGAATATCAGTGATATTTGATTATTAATTATGTCTTAACCTGTCAGTTGATGGGATCACTTTAACAGCCACGCACATGTAGTGGTGCAGTGATGCTGAGCAGCGAATACAAATATTGGTGACTTCAGCTTCTTCAATAATGCAATTTATCAATTAAAAAAATTTATTAACAGAGAATAACTTTACAAATCAATAGCTTAACAAGTTAACATTACATACTGAAAATAGAACGTAAAATAACAGTAATTCATCAACGCAAACAAAAACACAAAATTTCTGAAACAAAAGTTGGAAAATACCAACAACTAAAAAACATATCTTAAACTAGAATAAGAAAACCTTAATACTGTGAACAATAACACATTAACTACCTCTGCTACCTTAGGTGTTTTTCGTTTGTCAGAAGCCAGGGAAGCTTTGACAAATTGACCTGGTCTGCAAATTTAAAGTCAAATGCTTATACAAAAATTAGTACAATTTTGCACTTATTTACTTTCATTTTATGTAGTGGTAAAGTATAAATTTATTTTGTGGTTTCTGTATGCAGGTATGAAGTATGTTTAAAGGTTCATGGAATTTTTTTTAAGTTTAAAGATCCTGTTTTGTACACTATATGTATATATGCATACCTGAATTTCAATATCGGGCTAGAAGTGGTGATTTCCTTGGAGGAGAGACTATCCAGCATCACATCTACAAAATAATGAAAATGTTTACTATTTATCATATATATGATTACTCCGCTATCATTAGTCACAATATAAATCCATCGTGGTGTCGTCATGAATTTATCCAAGGCGGGCCATGAAGTTGACGTTTGTTTTTTTACGTAAAATGCGTCATATGATAAAAATAATCTCATATTCGTTTCCATTTGATATTGAATTTATGAAACTAGTTAAGAATGTTTCGATTTTACTCGGCTTAGCCTCGCAAAATTATAACATTTTAAGCGAGTTTCATCAATTTCATATAAATGAAAACTCATGCGAGATACATATATATGAAAAATGCATACAAAACTGTAGACACATATTATCGGAACTAGCGAGTTTACCAATTGTGTGGGAAAAAAGCTTACCAAGACTAATGGAAAAACTGGAGCTGGCGTTCATTTCCTCAATAACCACATCAGCATCTGTAATTACAATGATCAACTATAGCCATTGCGATTGAGAACAAAAACCTTGACAAATAGTTGATTACTTTAAATCATTATAAATGTGCATGTGGCGACTAAATTATATTCTAGCAAATGCAAATTACCTATTAAAGCGCTCATCCCACTTATATTCACGAGGTCTTCTGCAGTTTCAGGAATGTCCCCTAAACAGAAAGGATTATCATTAACGACTAGTCAGCAAATTGATAATGTATTATGCCATTAGGGTATACATTAGTACAACGTCTGTACATGGGTCATGTTATATGGACCCTTAAATAAATGTTTGACCCGTTGTAGTAAACACACACCTTGTACATCTGCCGGTGTAGGATCTATGGTCGGCACCTGTTTGTGGTCCTCCGGTACAAATACCAAAGAATGGTGCATGACCTCATCGCAATCCTCCTTTTGACATCTGTGATAGGCAACGATTGGATGCAATGTGACCTGTTCATATGTCCAATGCGCACTTTGTGCTTCGTCTTGGTGCCTGCAAACGTAGTTTTCAGCAAAATCCAAGCACATGACGACCCATTTGCTCGAACTCTTTCCCCTGCCAGAAAGCATTAAAGAAATGCTAGTGTGACGGGTTGATATTTAGTGATTTATGCAAGATCAGGGACCCCACATTTTTACTCAGTATTATGCCGTAATGTTTCGGTGACTGATGGGGTAAGGGAGGTAACTCCGATTGATTCCGGAATATCCGTACCGTGTTCCGGATCGTCCCCTGTTCTCAACATTAAAACACCGAGTGAAACCCATCATCGTTGTTCTCTCCTTGTTTTTAGGTAAGTTTAGTATAAATATTGACTGACAAAGGATAATTTTTTGATATTCTAATGCATAGATATATGATGTAGCATATTGTAGAGTGTCAACTGCAAATTTGGTCTCAAAAGTGGTATTTTGTCGATTGAAGTGGGGAATTGGTCGGTTTCTGAAAACGGCATGTTCGCGGTATGTTTCAGTTTTCGTAATTTGTCAAAATAGCAACTGAGATGTCATGTCGTGATTGGAAGTCTTGTTTTATTTCATGTATTTAACTTGTTATTACATCCCATATGAGGAATGTTCCTGTAAAAGTATTTTCTTTACCATTTTATTATAAATCCTCAATGGGAAATGTTCGGCCCTTTGAAGTAGGCCGCGGTGTGACGTCACAATATGGCTGCGCCCATGTGTTTACATTGGCAACACGTGTATCAGAATAGGAGGTCTGAAACAGAAATAGATAGTCCTGACTGTGTCAATTATTAGGAAAATCAAAGCACTGGAAGGAATCCTTTGTATTTATTAATGTATTTGTCAAGATATATTTTGATATTAATTAGAAATAATAAGTTCAAACTAACTTTAAAATTATTAGTCAATACTATAATAATTTGTGATCAAGATAATTATTTCTTTTGGCTATTCTTGTTTATAAGGTATTTCGATTAGATAAAATAACAGGATATTGGAATGTGGAGATGTATCTTGGAAGAATTATCAGTTGATTTATATAATGTCATGTTAACATTTGTTGAAATATGGATAATTCTTTGTCGAATCGGTCTAAATAATAGTAATTTCTGTTTAATACTACTCGCTCCACTACGAAATGCTATGTTCTGTTCAATAGTTCATTTTTACCCCAACGTACAAGAAATATGTTGTTTAGTTCCATTTCGCGCACCTGTCATAAGTTATATATTGTAAGAATTCTATATTTTGGGCTAGTTGCCAATTTTGGAGTAATATAAATTGCCAAGGTCATACAGTGAGCTGTTGTTGATAATTGCCAGCCTAATTGCCAGTCGGCTATTCAGGTGTGGATTGCCAGTTACTAATCTAGTCGATTGTTGAACTTAACAAATTGCGAAGTTTTTTTATAGTTGATATATACATGTAATGTTCTGTCAATTCAACATTTCAAGTCACTTAATATTTGCCAGTTGTCAGTAGATTAAGATGACAGTGTTGATACATATATAATGTATAGGGTATTCAGCTTGTCACTTGCCATTTTGAGTTTACTTGTCAATAGCTATGTCATTGTGTATCAATATCATGTGCCCCTGTTCTCAACATTAAAACACTGAGTGAAACCATCATCATTGTTCTCTCCTTGTTTTTAGGGTCGTCCAGCTGGCACCCAGATCCGGTGTAACACTTAGCAAATGGTGCTAGCTGTTTCTGGAGTTCATCGACGAATTCAATTATACTGCCACTTTTACATTTCATAGCCATGTATTTTTTGGAAACTCTGTTGGTAACTTTTTCATCCTGCTCCCATTTCTGCCATGATATATGCGCTCCGGAATGATTTTTTTAGTAGATCACCAACTTCCAGTGTCTCGACTCCACAACTCGCACATTCTCTGTTAAAACATTCTTTTTTGTAGTATCCCACCTCTTTTGGACACAGCGTTTTCCGTGACATCTCGTAACGGTCCGTAGCCAGAACTGGGTTTTTTTGTATGCAGAAATACTTCAGGCTTTTGACCTTAAAATCGATGTTAATACAATATTCGCATAAACATTGCAAATATTTATGTTTTGTCATCGACAGTACGTTGATGGGCTAAACTTGCAAATTTGATATTTGCTCGCTGTCAAGTTTTCTTAACAGCTTTCTTTTTTGGTAATTCTCTAGATATATAGATTTTCCCGTAGAACGCGGACACTGTATCTACAACCTCCTCTTGAAGGGCATCGCTCCTTTTAGCTCGTTTTGCATCCATGCCTTCTTGATTCTTCTCATGTAGTTTTACTAGTTTCCTGCTGATATTAAGATGTTTTTTTACTTTGCTATTTATTCCACCTTTTGCGAGTAAGGCATTGTGGAGGATACGTCGTGATTTATTGTCCTTCGTATTTCTCCTATTCCTCAACTCACGAAGCTTTTCCTGGATTCCAATTTGCGCATTTTCCAAACCCTCAAGTCGTCTTTTCGCATTGGGTGATGTGATACAGTGTTTCTGTAATGCTTGTTTTTTGTTTGGCGTAGTCTTCTGTATTATGCTTGACATGACGTCTGCAAATTTATCTGCGTCATTTGGGAGGACCCGCAACGATCTGGAAATCGCCTTCCGTTTTGCATCAGCCGACGTAAATCAATTGGAGGTGGTAGGTGTTATAGTTGAGGGCGTATTAGTGGAGTTTTTCTTTTGTTTCTTTAGCGCATACATCTCCCTACGTTTTTCATTCATTCTTCTTCTTTTTTGTGGGTTCATCCTATCCCTTTGTGTTTTTTTATCAATTTTCCATTTCTCTCTCTGCGTTTCCGCTGCCTTTCTTGTAAGTTGCTTTCTGTTCCCATTGAATCCTCTCTCTTTCTCTGTCGGTACCGTTGGTTTCTTAGTCGCGCCTTCTCATTATATCTGGACCATTGCTCCGTGGTCAACGATGCTCGAATTGCTTTTATTCTGAGCAATTTGTACGCCTTTACGCTGTTGTATAGATCCGTGTCCGCTTTTACGCGACCACGATACTCCTTCTGGTATTGTGCGTTTGTTTTTTTTGCCTTTCCTTTATGAACATCTTATTGAACCTAATAAAATATAAAATTGGTTCAATTGCAGAAATATATTAATGTTCCCCATTGAAGCCAATAATCTTGTCGTAATGTAATAT